TTTGTATTCCTCCATCAGCAATTACAGGGACACCAAAGCGCCGTGCATACTCTGATACTTTGTACACAGCTGTTGCCTGAGGCCGCCCACAGGCCAGCACTTCCTGGGTGATGCAGATGGAGCCACTGCCCGTGCCCACCCGCAAGGCAGCCACACCTGCGTCAATAAGGTTTTGGGCCTGAGCAGCAGTTACCACATTGCCTCCAATAACCTGGAGATTGGGGTATTTTTCTTTGATGTACTTGATCATGTTGATCTGGAAGATGGAATTTCCCTGGGAAGAGTCCAGAACCACAACGTCCACACCAGCCTGGGACAGCAAATCCAACCGGTACTTGTAATCTTCATGTGTGCCAATGGCTACTCCACACAGCAATTGCTTCTTTGCATCTTTGGAAGCCAGGGGATAATCTCGATTCTTCTTCAGGTCGGTCCGGGCAATGATGGCCACCAGTTCGTCATCTTCATTTACAATGGGCAGCTTTCCCTTTTTGCTTCGTTGGAGAATTTCATTTGCTTCCTTTAATGTGATGCCTGCAGGGGCCACTACCAAGTCTTCTCGCTTTGTCATAATCTCTTCCAAAAACCGGTCATGTTCCTCCTCTTTAAGAAAATCAATGTCCCTTGAAGAGATGATGCCTACCAGGCGACTGCCCATTTGACCTGTGTCTGTGATAGGAATCCCAGAGAAGCCATGCCGGGCCTTGGCCTCAAAGACGTCCCGCACTCGATCCCTGGGGTTGAGGACCACAGGGTCTGTGATAAATCCTTGCTCGTATTTCTGACTTTCCGAACTTCATTGGCCTGGAATTCTGGTGTACAGTTGTGATGGATGAAGCCAATTCCACCAGTAAGCGCCATTGCTATGGCCATTCCAGATTCTGTAACAGTGTCCATGGGAGAAGAAACCAGTGGAGTCTTTAGAGTGATCTTCTTGGTCAGGGCAGAAGTCAAGTCCACCTGGTCTGCAGTGAAGTCTATGTACCCAGGAAGAATGAGAAAGTCGTTGTAGGTTAGGCCATCGCCACAGTTGAAGAGCTGCTGTGCCGTGAGTCCGTTGTCAGGCACGTAGGACGTGCCCCCGCTAATCAGGTAGCCAGCCATGACTAGTACGGAGCGCAGCCACGTGTCTCCGAGGACTTGATGCAGCATTCTTAAACACCAGTCCTTGGTCATCATAAGTCTGTGAGACTGGTGATAGGACTCCATTTTGCAAAGATACGTTGCCCAAAGGTGGACCTGGGCTTGTTCACCTGGGCACGTCGTGTCTTGTCTCCCTTCTCCTCCTCCAGGTCACGAGGAGCTGGAGGATGCCAGAGGAGGAGGTCACCTGATAGTGGTGGAGTCATTTTTAGCAGTTGCATAACTGTATCTTATCTTTTTCTTTGGCTAGCAGATTTATTTAACATAAAAGCTTGAGAAGGCCCCCTCAGAGTCTACCCAAGATTGCACCAAAGAAAATGTTTTATATTCTTCCCAAGAACTAGAAGTAAAACCACTCAAAATCATCATCATCATTGAGTTGGCGCCTACTCAGAGCCGACCCTCCGTGGTTCCAAGGCTGTAAATCACACCAGAGGAGACCACCTATCTTCTTCCTCCCTTGGAGTTGCTGGGGGAGTCGGGTAGAAACTGAGCGGACAGGGACTGAATGACCTCAGCCGGAACATCTTGGGGGTCCCTCTGGTGACTGTCCATTGAATCGGCTCTGAGTCACAGTGCATGCACACACAGTGGAACACACCCGCGCCCTGCACCAGCCTCACGTGGCTGCTCCAGAAGTGCCCTGTGCTGTTGGAGACCTGCCCCGCTCTGCAGCCGTAAGGGCCAGGGATACAGGTGTAAGGACTCAGGGAGAACTTAGTCCATGCTGCACCTCCAGGAGGCTTCTTTGTCAGGGAGGAGAGTGTGTCTGTCTGTCCCTCTCCCTCCCTTTCTCCCTCCCTCTCCTCCTTCCCTTCCTCCCTCTCTTTCCTTCTCCCTCCCTCTCCCTCCCTTCCCCTCCCTCTCTCTCTCCCTAC